CTGCCTTTGCTTTTTTTTTTTTTTCTCTCTGTTCTCTTGATTTCGTGGCGAATATGCAGGATTGCGAGGAAAAGGGATAGAAACATGTGGCGCCAGCTGGTTTGATTTCACTTCACGGCGCCGTGCAGTTATGGGTTTCTTTTGTGGATGTATGAATGAATCTTCTTGCTGTTCATAGTCATTGTTCTTATGCAACTTTCATATATAAGTCCCTGTTATGCATAGGGGAGTTATCTAGACGGTGTATGCTTGTACATAGCAGAGTGGTAAGCCCGACATGTCTTCCTTCTAGCTATATCACCGGGAAGAAAGGAATGCTAAAAAAGCCCCTACAAAGATATTGAACAAGACATTGAACGAGACATTGAACAAAACATCTGAAAGGCAAAAAGGAAAACCTAGCATATAAGCACGCTGGAAATAATAAATAATGGTATGCAGCTGAGTCTTGCCTAGATAGGGTCCTATAAGTGCTGATATCAACTTGTTTCCTATTTCAGTACTATATCTCTCCCTTTGTCTACCCACCATGTTTTCTCAATAGATTCACATTATGGTGGGTTTGCAACCTACGTTTATCATATTTGGTATAGAGATGATCAATTGCTATACTATGCTATATCTGCTAAATAACTGTTTCGTCACGGTCCTTATTGTTATCTTGTGCAATAAGGTGGAATGGAATAGACTATATTGAACGTCTCCTTCTGTATATGGTCATAATATTGTTTCTCTAGTGCGTTGGATGGTTATTCTAAGTATCTATATATCCCGGGTTTTAACTTGTTGTGAGGGAGTGGAAAGAGGTACAAGCCCCCAGCTAACTAATGTATACTGCGCATGTTCTCTCGTCGCCTCGGATCCACGTTGTATAATCCACGGCGTGCGCCTACCGAATCTAGCCCTACGTAGTCTAACAAAACGACGGCGGCGGCCACTTCTCGTTTAGTTCGTTTGCTCATCGTCGCGGTAACAGATAATATCTTATGTAAATTAGAAGCTTTGTGTAAACGTTCCCTTTTGTCTCAACCTTGCAATTATCCGAAACGACGCCATGGCTGATGAACACGGCCCCGGGCCTCTAGCAGAACCCATGAACCAAGCCTATCTATGGCCACTTGTGCTTTTAACCGACCTGGATGAAGCTAGCCAAGACAAGCTTGCCGGCTCCGTGCAATTGATGCTCAAGGATGACCTTAAAGATCACTCCAAGCACTACTTTGGAGACAATATCAAAGCCAACTCCGACGTCAAAATTTGGTCGCCATCCCGATGGCTCCTTCGCTCTATCTACCAACAGGGACCCCACCGGGATTGCCTGGGCAATATCCATGCCCTTGCCGTCCTAGCTTTTCGATCTGGTCTCCCACGAATCATTGTGGCAGACGAGGCAACAAAGCGCCATCTCGCCGAAAACCGTGACGACGACTGTGACCTGAGGCGTGGAATTTCAGTGATTTTGATATCTACAACATGCTTTCCCAACTCAGACCGGGTTTCCATCTTTCTGAAACGTGCTGCCTGCTTTCCGGTCCAGGACAATGCCCAAAGACCGGTTCCCACATCTGACATTCAAATGCCCGAGTTCCGATCCGCCATCAAATATTTTGGGCCGCTATGGGACCGTGGCCCACGAGAAACTGGAGGCTTCATAGTACATGACCCTGATCAAGAGCTTTCCATGATTGGATCAGCCCAAATTCTTGCAAGGGAGTACTATGTAAAAGCTGTGACTGCCGCATTACGTCCCCATCTGCCTATGGAGCTAGCACTTGAAGTGTCAAATACGCGCAGCAGTCAGATAAAGATGCCTGTTTGGGAACGTCGTCCAAGCCGAACGCATTTAGTCATATTCTGCACCTACCAGACCACAACAGAAGAACTACGCAAAACTCAGAAAGTGATCCAAGATGGGCTCTCGCCCGTCTTGAATGGTTACCGGACCGCGGAGCTGGTCCCATTGGACCGACACCGAATCAGGACTAGGCGAGACCTCATCAGTTTCTGGGAGAAATACCGGCTATGGGATGCATACATGCCGGTGGGTAGAGGTATACTTGTGCCTCTGATTTATCTCAGTCAACCGCTTAAAAATATCAGCTTGGTGCAATTCGGTGTTATCCAAGGCCGGGGTACATCCGTGCCAATCCCGACAGTCATGGCTCGGATGCGCTTGCGTGATATCTGTGAGGATATGGCAAAAATTGGCTATATCAATGCTCCTTTACCGGGTGATTTCGATTATGATTCCAGTCACGAGGGGCCAAGAGAGTTCTTTTGGCATCCGGATCAACCATGTTTGACAAGGCAGCTTCCATGGATTTTCTCATGGCTTACAATCTTCGCGTCGCCTCCGCTAACCGAGGAGGCGAAGCAGAGAATCCAGGATATCATGACGGTGTACGACAAGTATGGTCCGCATGGTTTAAATGGACCACACGCCCTGATTGAGGCACGGACTTTGTCTGGGAGGAACGGTGAAGCTGGCATGACAAACGACGCTGGCATGACCAAGGAAGCCTGCATGACCAACAAAGCCGGCCTGACTGACGAACAGTTGGAATATGTCTGGAACACTGTCAGCCGGGATTACATCGAGCGTTGCAGTTGGACTAGTGGTGGTTTATTCGCCTTTATTGATGAACAGTTCGTTGTTGGTCAAACCGTTATCGTAGCTTCGGTCAAGCAGTATGTTGGTGATACAACGCATAGACTACTTGAGCACTTGCCTTTTCCGTGGATACAGGGTTTCTTCTTCAAGCGCGTCCCTGTTTACCTGGCAGCCATGTGTGGGAAGGACACAGCGGTTGGTGGCGAGTGGTTGAGCTATTCCAGGCCTGGTTGGCCATCTCCTGGGCTACTGCCAGACGGGTTTTGAATGAGAGTTACCTTCAAATGTCGATTGAACCTAGCAAGTTTGGCCTTCCAGCTCGGTCAAAAGGAGCTACATGTATGGACATCGCTTTTCCCTTCAAGTAAGCCTATTAGTGAAAAAAAAGAGAAAAAAGAAAAGGAAAGGAAAGGAAACGGAAGATCCAGTTTGCTTTTATATCTGTTAATGACGTAGACGTAGGAGTCAGGGACGTTGTATGTAAGATCACACTCCGATGTGTATTTAATAGACGCCTATTTGAAACAAAATCCATGAAAGCCTCCCTTCTTTGGAGATTCTCATGGGTAAGAGTCCCCATCAACATAGACTCCCTTGGCTCCATCATCAGGCAGTGCCCCTGGCGACGTCCAACCCAGTCTTCGATAGCTTAACCACCGTCAATTATTTCGTTTTTTTTTTCGGAGAACGTGTCTGCTGTATGGGCAGGCGCATAAACTGGAAACCCCTTAGGCGTGGAAAAGGCAATGCTTGAGGAGCCCACGTTCCGAGTCGCAGTTCTTGGGTTTATCTGCTCTGGCCAGGATGGCTGTTTGGTCAAGTTCAAACTGTGCATCAACAAAGAGAAGGACAACAGGGTTACGTCGACTAGGCAATGCGAGGTAGGCTTTGGCGATGTTCTCCCAGATGTCTTTCACCTTCTCATAAGTCCCGCCGGCTTCCCCATTCTTCCAAGGCAAAGCCTTGTAATCCTGAACCCGTTCACCAGCAACACCACGTTCCGCATCAAATTCATCGGGCACCAGCCTGGCTTCTGGGTTCTCTGGGTCTGTTCCTCGGTTAGGTGATTTGTGAGGAAAATCAGATGTCGCGTCTCCTGGGCCAAGGAATCCCATGAAGTGTCAACTGAGAAGTATGGTTCATCCGGGTGATAGAGTATCTCCGCCGGGGGGGAAGGGAAGAACAATTTGCAAGTGCTCGAGAATAAGTTGCTGTTTCCCTACAGATCCTATCAAAGGGCACACCCGGAACAATATTGCCGGTTCTTCTTCGGTCCGAACGTGCGAGAGACAACGCCGAGCTGCGTCGAGTTGACATCGGAGACAGGCTCGCTGAGGTAAAACAGATCCGCCGAATAACACGGGAAATCAGCATACCACGTATGGTATCGCTTCCAGAACTCCAAGAGGTCTCGCCGGGTCCTGAGACGGTGCCGATCCCATGGGATCAGTTCCACCGTCATTTGGAACGTCTTTTTTCCAGCATGTCTAGTGGTCGGATACCTTTTCCATAATGGAAGGGAGTTCATCTTGGATCGTCTTTTGTGTCTTGCGGAGCTCCTCGGTTGTGGTATGATAGAGGACAAATACGACGAGATACGTACTAGTTGGACGGCGCTCCCAGATAGGCATCTTTATGGGGATGCTTAACGCATTTTGGGTCAATTACGAGCTCCACAGGTAGAGTGGAACATAATGCGGCGGTCACGGCGTTCACATATGGCTCTCGCCCAAGAATTGCCAAGTCGGCTGTGAACGGCTCTCGATCGGGGCCAGACATCACGAAGCCCCTCCAGTCCCATTTATAATTCCAAACGGGCCCTGAATATTTGTCAACGGAGCGGAAAGGGAATGGTTGAATACAATCCATTATCCGATCGGACTCATTATGATGCATAGGCTGCCAAACAGAACCCTCATAATCAGAAGGATTCGTATCATAAGGTGAAAGTGCCGGTGGAAGGCGATTAGCGCGAATCACATGTACAGAAAAATTGTCCGGGTCGTCGTGCAATCTTTGGACAGTTATCAAGATCACCGAGACCACATGTTTCGTATCCCAATCAAAGTTGTGGTTTCCAGAGAGCTGGCGTTTGGTCGCTTCGTCTGCCACGATGATCCTTGGCCGAACTGACCGACATGCTAAGACAGCAAGGGCATGGATGTTACTCGCGCTATCCCGGTGGGGGCCCGGTTGCGCGATAGACGCGAGCAGCTGTCGGGGTGGCGACCATATCTTGACCTTGGAGCAGGCTTCTTCTTGACTTTATCTCCAAAGTAGCGCCTAGAGTGATTTTTGAAGTCGTCCTTGAGGGTTGACTGCACAAATCCAGCAAGCTTCTCTTGGCTAGTTTCATCCAGATCTGTCAAGAGGACGAGTGGCCATAAGTAGTCTGGGCTCACGGGCTCTTTTGGGGGGCGCAGAGCGGCATAAAAAGGGCATTATGATATTCGACAGATATAATAATGATTGATGTCTGTTTGGAGATTAAAAGAGGAAGAAGCTCTGCACTAAGGCGGGAGCCAAATTAGGACGGTTGGGCACCTCCAAGGCTAGGCACCTCGATTAGTATGTTTTGGCACCTCCACGAAAGACATAGTAAAACTGGAGAACAGTTGCAGCTTTGTAATTACATACTTAGCTGTGAATCCAAGAACCACAGCTCAAATAGCCATGGATAACTATATCTACTTGATATAAGGTGGTTCAGTCCGGGAAGACAAGGGTGCGGGGAGCGTTCCTAAACAGTTTTCCAACTGTCTCGCCATTTTGAAAGCCTCACGGTCAATAGGTTATCCAAGGATCGCAACGGAAGAGTTCTCCAATCAGACCTACGGCCGCAGTATTATTCCAAACAATTGACACCCCCAATAACCAACGGAGTCCGCAAACCACGCGGAGCAGGCGGTAAGATGCTTCCCCAGACTATAATTGCTAATGCTGACTTGTCACAGGCTACCAGGATTCAGGTGCAGATATTCCATACACATTACGCCCAAGAGGAATCGAGGTCGTCACACCTCAGCTCTCCCCTTCTACCGCCCAGCATGAGGGCTGGTGTACCCCGGATTCAGAAGAAGGGATATATTCCGCCGTAAGCCAGGGCGCCGCACACGTGTGGGCGAATACTATCGTGTTTTCTTCCCCTTGCATGGAGCTTCAACCCTGGAGATGTTCCATCAACATCGCACTCCTGTGTAAATACATGTGATGTCGACCGATTTGAACATAGGTCCTAGGCTGGAACCTGGCCTTTCGAAGAAACGTGTCACAAGAATGAACAGACTTACACACTGATCTGGTATAATACAAATATAAAGCAGCTCAAATTACACATAAGCCAGAGCTCTTCTTCTGCTTTGCCACCTCAACAAAATCAAACCTATATCTAATCTTCCAAAATCAGGCCAGTTCACTTCCACAAACTCTATATCAGTATCTTGGTGGCACTGCCAGAGCATAAAGTCACTCAAACGGTAGACTCCCGACGTACGTATCAGAAGGTCCAGCAGCGGAACCCCCATAAACATATTCTCTGTCAAAGAATTCACCATGATCTTGCTAGGGAAGTCAGAGCCAGCAACAGTTTCCCTGATAGCAGAGGCAATTTCATCCCTGCCGGTATAAGCGACACAGATATTCATAACCTTGCCCCGGTTATCTTTTGTAGCGTTCATAGTCTTGGCAATAACCCTTAAGACGCTGTCTTCTAGCAATTCCAACCGACCCAATACCCTCACTCTAAGATTGTGTTTCTTCACCAATGGGTCATTCTCGCCCATTTCCCCAACTATCGCTTCCAGCAAGTTCATAAGAACGTCGATCTGCTCTTTGGGTCTGTTGAAGTTTTCGAGGCTGAAGGCGTAGAAGGATACAACATCGGTTCCGCAATCGAAGCATGTATCCATGATCTGTTTCTGGTGTTATCTCAATTGTCCATAACCCTTGGAATATTTAACATGATAATTTACCTTCACTAGAACTTGTGCACCAGCCAAATGACCCGCTGCGATGGAGATGCCCTTCTCCTTGGCATATCGTCGGTTTCCGTCCATTATAAACGCTACATGTCGTGGGATGGGACCTTGGGCCAATGTCCCTAGTACGAATTTGTAGACTTGTATGAAGACATACTCCAGAGATTTATAGATGGGTTGGAAGATGTACATTGTGTCAAGTAGGAGATCTAGGGAAAATTGAGAAACAGATTTCAACCCGTGGAGTTTATACGGAGCTCGAGCTTCTTTCATCGAAAGATCCGCAGATATGTCTCACAAGATACATACCATGTAGCATGTAATTTTAGTAGAGTCTATCGGTTGAATACTTGACATTATCCGATCGGACAGACTTCTTGTTTATTCGTTGCATGCAGTATGATTCGGCTCGTTAGGTGTCTTGATTGGACACTTCTCGGATGCTACATAGGTTATCCAGCAGCAGTTCTTCTTCTAGATTCTGCTAGTCTTTAAAACTTAAATTGTCCTATTATATAAATTAAATCTATGTCAACCTAAATGATGCTAGCCTTCTACCTACATATGTAGGAAGACACGAAAAGAAAAGCAACCGATAACTCCCAGGGCTACGAAAACGGTCAATCACCCCGGTGTCACTGGTGTTACCCTATCCTGCCCTCAGGTATGACTTTGCTTGGTTTTATGCGGTGTTGTGTCGAGCGATAGTGTACCACTCCATCACGAATTCCAGGATCTGATAGGATTGGTTGCTGCTTGTAAGCACCCTTTCGAAGCTTGTGTCAACGGCGGCATTTCGGTCCAAATTTCACTTGCAATAATTGAGAAGAATGGGTAGACTAGGGTGATGCAAAAGAAGCATTATGCAACTATCTGCTAATAATGGCGGGAAAGCCCAGAAACTTTCTAGGGAAATAACTAATTATAGGATCCGAATATAAAACAAGAAGAATACATATGTAGTAATCTATCAGGCTCTAGAGGGTCGTTACAATAGGAATAAATTGCCCATCTACAGGAAACGGTATTTGATTGCGCTCACATAAAAGTCGAATGGTAGAAGAGTCAAACATTTCAAGCTCTACATTGTTGAAAAGCCCGAGGAAAGTCCGATTCGCCGAAGGGGTTGCGAAAAGGCTATCCCAGCCCGTGAATACAATTGTGACTTTCCTAGCTATAAGTCGCGATAGAAAGTCTTCTAATCCACGGATTCCGAACGTTTGTCTTGGAAAAGATCGTTTAACGATCTAACCATTATAAGAAACCGGCTAGTTCCTTGTCGTAGTCCCTAGTGATCATTCCAACGTATGCAGACCGGAGGTCATATTGGAATTGTGAGACGAGAGCTAAGGACCATGATGTTTGAATTCACTGGCTAGTCGAAGTTCCACGAAAGCATCGCTTAGAATTGTCCAACCTTCTCTCGTAGGCCGAGGTCTTTTTAGTTGGCATAGATTCCTCCTTATCGTATTGTAGAGGAGTGGAAACTGCTGATTAGCAGATTCTATCCTACCCCGCGGACATTCGAAGCTATCCTTCTTAGACGTGGGAGGGAGGTGCAAAATAGCGCGGCCGGCATAAGCCTCCACTCTAAGCAGCTGTTCGGGTGGCCTAGGGTGATTTCGAACTCCGTGTATCAAGTTTCCATTTTGGACCTACACTTCCCAAAAGCGCTTCTCGAGTCACTCACCCTAGAATTGCCACCATTTGCGTTGCTCTTTCTCCTTCCGCTGGAGGCACTCCAGCGTCAACAACCTTTATAGGTGGCTCAGCAGCGCCTAGCGGGCGCGAGAACTGCATATATCAATTAGCACGAGAGACGTAGAGAGAGAGAGGATAGGGAGCAACCTTAAAGATGCCTGCCCGGGTGGAAGAGAAGTGAAGTGAAGTATCGCTGAGAAAAAGCAAACGGAAATTGGGTTGATTGGTGAGTGGAGAAATTTGAGAGAGACCCAGCGATACTAGACGGTATATCAAGGAGAGTCCAAAGAGTATTCGGTATTGTTGGAAAAGGAAGACGTGCTTTTCTTGATGATGTTGTGTGGAATCTCCTGATCACCAAAATGTGACGGGGGGAAGAACCTTGGAAGGAACTTGATGCTATCTTTTAGGTTTGAGTACCCTCCACAGAAGGCGGTTTCTCTTGTCCTTCCCTTCGATTCGTTTACCCCGACCACCTTTATAAGAGGTTTCCACCAGCTGTCCCATAGATGGAAGAGATGGAAAAGTCTGCCTAGTCCTATCGCACTGCAATTGGTACTTGTAGAGTCAGCAGAGAGTTTTTAATGCCCGGATGGTGCCTCTTACTGGGAACTTAGGTCTCTTTCGCGTGGATTCTGTGCTCCGTGGCTTCAAACCTGGCTGAGCACCTCCCTTTTCAGGCCAGCATATATGAAGAAGGATGATCGAGGGTTCCGGGAACCCTGGCGAAGGCCCGAGTGAAAGGATGAGTTATTAGGATGAGAAGAGATTTCACCGGGGAGAGTTGAGTTAAATACCAAAGCAAGCGTTCCTAGTTAGGTAGGTACGCAAGGAAGGAAGGAGCGACGTTGGAGCCTGGACGGTATCCACGTCACGTATCAAAGGGAATTGTAGCGGATACTTCGTAATGTAGTCCAGAAATATAGGATATAAGTCAAGAGCTTCTAGCATTTCCATGACCCAAAGGACAGTTATAAACTTACCAGGTCGCTTGCTACTATATTTGGGATCTAAAAATGAAAGAAATCGGAAGAGATTATCTTGATTTGCCGCACTTGCCTGAACTGCATGTGAATTAATTCTCCCACACAATGAATCTGTATCTGTTCCATCTCCTTTCTGGTTTTTGGATTCAGTCTTGGCTATAGTTGGCACTGAAATATCGTCTTTGATCAACCGAGCAAGTCTACTGCGCTGTTTCGGACAATTTTAGGGCCCAGGACTGCGGCCAACTCGGCGATGATTCCCTTGATAGACATTGGCGAAGTCATTGACATGGTTTCCCATTTGACCAGATCCTAGTTAAATTTAGTAAAGTTCCTCTTGCTCAGGGGGATTTGAAAAGAAGATAAATGTGTACCTTCATGTGAACAAAGTTGTTGTCAAAGAACAGCAGCCAATGATCCAGGTCCAGTGCTTCCACTTGGGTGACAGTAAGTACACCAGGCATGCCAATATCAAAGAGGGAAACCTCCTCTAGATTGGCGTCAGTTTCCGGAACCAGAGGCGCAGGGGAGGATGTTCGGTCCCGAGACAAAGAGACATAGGAACGGGAATTAAGCTTCTCCGTCATTTCGCCATCAAGCGGGTCCCAGTCGCAGGATTCAGGGTCTGAGTAACAGATAAAACGGTCAGATGTCGTGCACAACTTTTGACGTAGTACAAAAAGGGTGTACTAAGACGAATACATGAGTGGAACCTACCAAGGATGTACTGGGGGCGGAAATTGGCCTTGTAACGCATCTTCTGGCAGGAGTGAATGTAGTACCCTATATTCCGATTGTTAAACGCGCACCAAAATAGCGACCAGTTTCATGATTGTGACCTACCCATGTAGTAGTACAAATACTGATTCTCGATCGCGAAGGCAATTTCACGCATGGCGCTCAGCTTGCCGATTTCCCATTGCTCGTAGGTAGGATCGTAGCTGTGCAGGACCGATCATCAGCTTATCACATACTTCCGTGTTTTAGTATGTAGTCAGCCATCAGCTTACAAGACATAGACGGAGCTAACGCCGCTGGGGACCAAGTCCAATACTGCAACAGCAATGAGCTCGCCATCAAGGCGATAGCACTGATGCCATGAACCGAGTTTCTTCTCGGAAGCGTTGGTGGCTGTTAGGGGACTCGGAGTTCGCTTAATGCCTGAGCATAAGAAGCGTTGAAAGTCCTTTGGTTTCCAGTGAGAGACATCCTCTTTATGGATGGCCGTTTGGTACTTGAGGAACAGCTGAAATTTTGCTTGAGAGACAGAGTCACCCTCAATGGTGATTTCGAAGCGGTGCGCTGGTACAATGGGAAGCTTGGTAGTAGGGTCAATGGGCCGTTTGATGTGGTCGTACTCGCTCTGGTGGACAGCTGACAGAAGGTCGAAGTTGCACTTGCGGTGCTTTTTCTCTCTGTGATTTGATTAGCAATAAGGATATAATCTGATATCAAATTGGCAGATATAGAGTTGCATACTCGCGGGTTCGCGGACAAAGCCGGGCTGCCTTTCGCATATACTCGGGACCTAGAATGAATTTGTTCCACTTGTTGATGGCCTTGCGCTGATCGCGGCGGGGCCGATAAGCGGATGCTTCTAGTCTCAACGTGTAGTGAGGACAACAAGACCGAAGCAGATTTTGTTTGTAATAGAGGTTTCCCGAACTGGGGATCTCAGTCAGTATGGTCTGATGGCGCCACAGGGAAATTAAACCTGGAATCATACCGTCGCCAGCCGCCATTGATCAGCTCTTCATAATGTTCCGGGAGTACGGACGTTGAGCTGGTGTAGTACGATGCACCTTTTACCTGTCAGCATCCCTAACCTTTCCCTGAAAGGACAAAAAGGGCGAAACACAGCAGAGGGGCAACAAACTTCCATCTTCGGACTTGCAGTAACCACACGAGTTCTTTTGGTAACCTGAGAGGACCACAACACATTAGTCTCTGCATAAGAGGGGTTGGACGATCACAAAGCATTGGGCGTTGGCCCAAATTCCCCGAAGTGGTAGCGCCCTGGGCCAGTGGAAACGCCACGGGGTAACAGAAGCCTATCTCAGTGGTTCCCTGCATGAAAGTGGGACGTACCTAGTGGGCGGAACAACGACAGCTTTCGCGCGCGTTCGGCGTCAACCTCTTGCATGTTTAGATTGGCTCTGTGTTGGCGTGCACTAGCGAGTGGATGTGAGTTGTAGGAGGGAGAGAGTGAAATGAAGTCGGAGAAGCCGGGGTTTGTCCATATTTGTAAATATTGTAATTGCGGTCTATACGGTAAGGGGGATGGCTACATATATGTGCACTGTACAACATAGTTACCTAGGTCTATACTAGCTGTTAATTGTACCTCATCTCTCAAGCCACAGGGTCGATCTTGTTGTTTCTGGCCGAATCGCCGAGTTTCCCCCATCTCGCTACCAGCAAATCCCGTAGGTTTTAAGAGGCTCAATAACCGACGCACATTTAGAGATGTTGTTGAATCATAGGAATCATAATTGTAGATTACAGTAGAATATGATTGTAATAAAATATAGCAAAATATAGCAAAATACAGTAGATGATACCAAATATAGAAACATCTCTTCGATCTGGAGAGTCACATGACCATATATAGAGTGGAAAAGAAGTGAAGTCAAGGTCATTGAACTGCTTGCCCTCTCTCTAGAATGACTCTAATGACTGTAGTGACACCAGTGTACGATGTAACAAAGACAACTAATGTAAATATGCAAAGAAGAAAAGAAAATAATTAAGAAATGAGAAGCAAAAAAAAGCAAAAAAAAGCAAAAAAAAAGAAACGTACCTTGACTCTCCTCCGGACTGCGCCGCCGTGCCCCTCCATTCCCACTTCTCTTCTTTTCTCCATTCCTCAATAACCTCCCATTTCTCAGTTCTTCTTTTGAAAACCATGCCTATTTTCACTTACCATTCCAATCCCCCGTCAGGCATGAACGGGAAGACCTGATCTCCATTGCCTACCTCCGCAATATCCCAAAAGGAAAAAAAAAATTTCCCTCCCCGACCGCCCTCGCGCTGTACTCCCGCTCCTTTACACCAACCGAGACCCCGGGAGCTTCTTTTCTCACCTCAGAGACCTGACAGGCTCCGAGGGAGCTTGCGAGAGCATCATCTATTGGCTTTTCCTTGACTTTTTTTTTGACATCCTCGGCCTCTCCACTCTTTTTCTCTCTTTCTTCATTTCACCGGGGACTTTCCAACCCCACCAAATCCTGGAGTAAATCCAAGGATATTCGATTGTCTATTGCAATGGCTCAAATACGGTCTATGGAAGCCCGCGTTGGGCGGAAAAACCAACGTGAGTTATCGCTGATGTCGCTTGCGGCTGCGCACGTGGGGGGAACCCGTCCCCCTTACGTCTACACTGTCCCTGTGTTTCCTGACTCTAACGGCTTGTCCTAGGCTACGGCTCAAAAGGCGAGCGACTGGTAGCCGGCGTTGTCCCTATTTCCGTCGACAAGACCAAGGTCCTTATGATTCAGTCCGCAGGACCCGGAGGTTGGGTGCTCCCCAAGGGTGGATGGGAGCTCGATGAAAAGACCGCTGAGCAGGCTGCATGCCGTGAGGCCTGGGAGGAAGCCGGTGTCATCTGTATTGTGATCAGAGATCTGGGACTCATCCCGGACATGAGACCCTCCGGCCTTCTTACGGCGCAAGCGCCCAAGGCGTCATACCAGTTCTTTGAAGTCACCGTCGAGCGAGAGGAAACCGAGTGGCCCGAGATGCACAAGCGGAAACGACAATGGGTTTCGTATGCACAGGCTGCCACTGCCCTCGCAAACCGTCCCGAGTTGCTTGAAGCGTTGAATCGCAGCTCGTTGAAGCGGTAGCCTTTGTCGCGTGCACATTCAGTTCTCTCGCACATCGAACATTCTCCCCTCCTCATTCATCTACATCTACCTATTCTGAGAGACTACTCCCTGATAACGACTGGACATGACCAACTCCAAAAAAGGTGGCTTCGTTGCTTCTACTATTGGCTTCGTCAGCCTTTTACCCTTTCGCCTTTTATTTTATTTTTTTTTTGCATGTTTGACGGGCTGCCGCTACCCGTCCGCTGTTTCATTTGCGAACGAACCATCTGAGCTGTGTTTTGCTTTGTCTCCCCCTGATAGACGCCTTTTGCAAACATGAAGGCTTCGGGACGTTCTTGCATTGATACCGGAGGATACCTATTCTATGAAATGTGATATCGGACTATTTTATCTGAATCCATTGCTTGTACTGGTCCACTTGCCAGATTTGAGTCGAGCGTACACTTCCCTTAGTTCTAGATACCAGTCTTTTGGATCCAGTGTCGATACCCAGCAACTGAATCAAATCTGAACCACCTCCTTGACTCTCTAATCTGAGAAAGAGAAGAATGGAATGAACAGACCAAAAGCGAAAGCATTTTATTATATCTGTAAATGTAAAAGAAAAGAAACGACTTGATATTGGCACTTTTCACTCAGAGCGTATGACCCGATTAGGCAAAGCGCAAAAAGCTGTCTCCGAGGGAGCAAATCCGCGAGCCCTCAAGCCAACAACTTCGCGCCCGAATCATCTACCACCACAGTTCTCATTACTCCGTCATTCGCCATTGTAACCCGTATTCTTTAACCTATCCCTCTACTTTTATGACTCGCAGATAAACACCTCCAGCTCCAGACAAGGGCGGCGAGCAGCGCTGCCGCATACATACCAATATGGATTACGAAATGGATCTCGAGCCCACAGGGCCCCAAGTGACAGTCCGCGAAGTAAGCCGGGACATTCACAAAGCAACAGGACAAAAGACTCACAGATCGCACAGGCGGAACCCTACCGCGTCGACTTCAGACTGACCGCAGTCGACCTCGCATTCGCCAACTCTCTCCGACGAACCATCCTCGCCGAAGTGCCCACTCTGGCACTCGACCTGATTGAAATCGAAAGCAACACCTCAGTCCTCCCCGATGAGTTCCTCGCCCACCGCCTGGGCATGATCCCCTTGAACTCGTACAACTGCGACCAAGACCTCGACTACACGCGAGACTGCGACTGCGAAGATCACTGTGTGCGCTGCAGCGTGACGCTCTCTCTGCATGCGCGCTGCGGCAGCGGCATCATGTCCGTCTACGCGCGGGATCTGATTGTCGTCGGCGAGCGGATCAACGACAAGATCGGTGATCCTGTTACCACTGACCCGGAGAACAAGGGTCCCTTGATTTGCAAGCTGCGCAAAGGGCAGGAGATTAAGATGACTTGTCTGGCGAAGAAGGGAACTGCTAAGGAGCATGCGAAGTGGGCTCCCACTGCTGCTGTTGGCTTTGAATATGACCCCAACAACAACCTGCGCCATGTGGACTACTGGTATGAGCAGGATGCGGCGAAGGAATGGTATGTATTTTGAGCCTTCACTTGATACCCACAAGGTTATTTCGGTATATCTGCTAACAAGGACTTTTTATAGGCCTGTCTCTGAAAACGCTGCCTGGGAACCTGCTGCCAACCCTGACCAGCCATTTGACTACGATGCCGAGCCTAACTGCTTCTACTTTGATGTGGAGAGCATTGGCAACCTTGAGCCAGATATGATCATCCAGCAGGGTATTGTGTCGCTCCAGCGCAAGCTCGCAACCACCGTCTCTGTACTCTTGGGTGAAGGCGAGGATGGACATGGCGGAGCTGCTGAAGATGCTGAGATGATGGGTGCCAATGACCCCGATGCTTATGAGCCACCTGAGGGCATTGACGGAAATATGACTGCCTACGGAAACGGTGCGGCCAGTGCTTGGGGTGCTAGTGCACAGACACCGTACGGTGCTACGCCTTACGGACAGAGCAGCTATGGGTTCTGAACATGCGTAACCCAGCAAGAAAAATAGAGCTTGAGCATGCGCAATGGAGTTTTGATTTCCTGGTGATTTTGGGGCGCACTGGAGTTTTCCGTTCTTTGTATCTTTTGTTATGGGGACGGTCTTCTGATACTAGAGAATGACTGGTCTCTGGATCTCAAATATCTACTCGTTGATTCGGTGAACCTGAAAATACTGAATATCATGGAACTTTTGCTGAAACTACCAAATATCTTCCTAGAAGGGTCGCTCACTCATGCGAGTGGGAATAACAATGCTCTTAGACTACATACAACATACATATGTATGTACTAACCAAGCATGAATACCCGCACGCCAGCGATGTCCTGAACCTGCATGAAACAAATCTATGCACTGGCATGCCCATAACTAGACTTGGATTCCCTCAAAGCCCTCTTATCCTGGCTTTTACATTTACATGGCTGGTCCAGGGCTAGGCGGGGATCTATTCTGAGCAGGGTGTGGATTATCAGATGCGACCAACCATTTAGAGAGATCAGGTATGGATATCACACTTTTATTTTCAAATCTTATTAACCATAATCCTGCGTAAAACAATAAAAAAGAAAATCAAGCAAATTCTGAAAAAAGCTGCTGAAATGCCCATCCTTTCCCAACGCCTGGCATGCCACAGATGCGATTATACACAAAATACAACCATGCCTCGCTAAAAACGCAGAATGTAGAACACAAAAGAACAGAATCACCGGAGAACACTCTACTCCATCAACTCAACCGGCGGACGAGCAGTCTTAGGCGGCATTTGGTTGACCGACATCTCAATCGGGCTCAACGCATCCATATCTACGTCTTCATCAATATCCAGCGTCATATCCTCAACCATAACAGCCGGAAGATTAGGACTACCACCATGGTCCTCGGGATTGTAGATGAGGGTGCTGCTCCTGCTACGCTGCTGGGAGCCCGCAAGCGGCCAGCTGGGCGTGCGCTTGTCAGAGGAGATAGAGACCGGCGTGGCCGGGTCGGTAGAGGTCTCAGGCTGCATCTGGTCCGTCTTCAGCATGGACAGTGCATGGGCCAGATCCGTCGCGTGGACTTCCTTGTTGGGCGGGTCCTCGTTGCGCATGACCCATCCGTGGGGCGGGCTGGGCGGCGGCGAGATAAAGAACATCTTGGAGACTTGCGGGGCTTCGAGGAGTTTGGGCCGCCCGCCGTCTAGGATTGCGGTCGGCTCGCCGAAGTAGATCCGGGGGTGTACGTCTCGGTTTAGGAGACGCTTGCCGTCGAGGAGTTGGCGCACTGCTGTGGCGTCGGAGTCGTTGTGGAAGGAGCACACGATGCGGCGCATTGAGGGGAGTGGGGAGAAGGAGTTTAGAGGGGCCACGGCGGTAATTTGGTTGCGGATTTCTTCCAGTGCTGAGGGTTGGAAGACGAGTAGATCGTGGAGATCGGTGATTAGGAGGGTGTTGGAGGGGGGTGTCGGCTGGGAGAGTGCGCGCATGTTGGCAATATCGAGGGATAGGGACGGTCGTGAGGTGTGGGATGAGCCAGTTAATGTGGGCAATGAAGCTGAAATAGCCATTTTGTGTGTGTTGTATGGTTTTGGGGTTATATGTTGGAGGTTGGATAAGGAGAAGATAAAGGAGGTTGCCACCGGATAAGAACTGTTTTAGAAATGTTCTAGAATTTCCAATAGATGGCGAGAATTATTCAGAATAGTTGAAATGGTTGAACTTGAAAGATAAAAGACTAAAAAGACTCTGGATTTGCCTCTCTTTAATACAGATATTTCCCCAAAGGCCGTGAGGCGCAGCTATCGTCATCCCTGCACTGCCTCTGCCATTCCATATGTAGCGATCCACCTGTTCCCGGCTCAAGCCTAACTCTTTCAGATCAAAGGGCCGTGATCTACTATATTTACTTTACTTTATTGGAATTTACACGAATAAGCTATAACGTTCTCAGCCAGAGTGCTATGCATACGCCACACCCGCCACACATTGCTTTCAGTTGATTTTCCCCTTTGACCTGCACCAGCCACACCCCGTGACCTCCCAACAAAGACTCCGCCCCTTTTTCTACCAGAGCATCCGATGCAACCGAACATAGAGAGGAGTACGATGTATGCAGCGTTTTACGGAGCACTGTACAAGGCTATCCCCCATCCTTAGCCTTGCCTAAGCCCCATTGGCTTGGAATTTTTTATCATTCTGCCTACGCCTTCAGGGCCTCCACTATCAAGCATCGCCACCCACAGTTTCTTCCCCAAGCCTTGCATAACAAATCCGGGGCTTTACGATGGTAAGCCGGGGACTAGACACGTTTGCTTCAGCCGTAAGGCTGCTCAATTGATTATTTATGGAGCGTATACCCTATTCCCGAGACATAGTGAAAACACAGCAGGCTATGGCACTGGCACAGATCTTTGTGACACATCCGGCCTACAAGCCTTGTGCGGTCGGAAATTCAGATCATTTGTCCTATCAGTTGTACAGAGCATCAGACTCCAGGCTTGTTTCGGCCGGGTTCGCAAGACCCAGTCACATACGTGGATTTCAACAAACAGATGTCTTTGAGATGCCTTTCCAGTTAAAAGTGCCAAGAAAAAGTGGTCACATAGCATAAACACAATCCGTCACATGAGCTCAAGCTACGTGCTAAATGAACCACGAGGCAATCAATGGATCTATTCTATAACTTGCTTCCCTGAGGTTGGATGTCTCTATCTATCTTTGTTTCCGGCCGAGCAAGGCGTACCTGTCGCTGCGCCCCTTCCAGTTGTTCAACGACAGCGTCGAATGCAGCTTCAGCATCGTGTTCCGATAGCCATTCCGTATTTGGTCTGCCGGTCATTCGAGCAACAAGAGCAGCATCCTCTTCTTCGCCTGTCGCAAAGATAGTACCTTTCTTGTCGATCTGGCTGTGCACAATACCCAGCAACCGAGCTGTATGCGGCTGCCTGGTTTGACTGTACAGCCCCAATGCCTCGTTGATATTTCTAGCTGAGAACGTGGCCTTTCTCGAAGAGAACACTTCTTTGAATGCAAGGCCAAGAGCGAGGGAGTCGTCTAGTGCCAGCGAGCCTCCGGCTGCGAAGGCACCGCCGTGCGCGTGGGCTGCGTCTCCGACTAGAGTCACTCGCGGCCCAAAGACCCAGTTTTGGAGAGCATCTCCTGCGAAATTGGGATAAAGATTTGTGGATGGTGTGAGCTCTGTCAGGGCTTTGACCGTGGGATTCCAGTCCTAAGGGCTGTGAGTCAAATGAGTTCGGGCAGATCAATTGAGATAATACCTTGTATCTCTCTCTTAAGAACTCCACATTGCCAAGTTGATCCCACGAAATGCTTTTCTCCACTTCCTCTGCTGAGCGCGGGTCATCGTATGCTCCAACGGTAGTGTACTGGTCTTTGCCTGGGTCTTGTCAGATCTATGCAGCCATGCAATGCTGATTCTTTTCCACTTACCCAGCCGAGACGCAAAGAAGTTGTCTTTAGGACCCCACTGTCATCATTGTTAGCAATTATTCTCACAACTCCAAACACAGTGATAACATACCCAGTGTATCGAATCAGCAGGCAAATCAGGGATCTTGCCCGCTACCAACGAGGCATCAAACGTCGCCCTCATGAATATCTTCCCACTGAACCGTAGCTTATAATCCGGGATGAACGATTGTCTGACACTCTGTTCTTTAGTTAGCAAAACGCAGTTTGAATCAAGATTATATCACAAACCGATCGAATCCCATCTGCCCCAATGAGGATGTCTCCATGGGCATTACCCCCATCCTCGAAATACAACGAAACACCACCCTGGTCAGCTTCCGCGCGCACAATCTTCTTGCCTAAGTGGATCGACTCTCTAGGGACATGCTCAAGCAGAGCAGAGTGTAGATGGCCGCGGTGGAAGCGGGTAGTATGGTGACGGGGGTTAGGGACGTTAGTGTGGGTGTCTATGGACACGACTTGGTCCGTTTTCCAGTGGCTATTTGTCTATCGGTCAGTGTGCTGAGCAGTAAAACTAGAGTATATGTAACGGATCCATACCGGAATATCTGTGGGATTCCACTTGGGCCTCTGAACCCGACTTCGTCTGTTAGGGCATTGTGTACGCCGAGTTTCTCAAGTGTGCGCATGCCCTGGTATTCCATATTCACAGTTAGATAGTCTAATCATTTCGGAATAACGCGCAAGATACCTACATTTGGACTGAGCGCGATGCTGGCTCCTATTTCCAAGAGCTCTGGAGCCTGTTCATATAGCTGGATATCCAAGTTTGGAAGAGTCGATATTCGTGTTAGCGATATAGCCGTTGCGAGACCTGCGATGCCTGCGCCGGCAATCAAGATGCGAAGAGGTTCGCTTTTTTCTGTCATATTGATATGGTTGTGTATCCGTCGACCCAGCACTGATCAGTTGAGATAAAAAGTTACTTCTGGCAAAACCTATATTTTTATGGTCTAGGTCTTATCGCAGCGATGACCTCGGAGAATTTAAGCAACGATGCAGCGCTGACACTACCCCGCAATGGCGACTTTAGCGACTTTAGGCGTGCTTTGGAGTCAAAATCGCGTTTGTAGAAGTGGAGATCGTGTTGTGATAAGCATTCTTCTGCTAGTTAAGTAAGATACTAGTGTGTGACCTTTCATATTAGTGTTTACCAACCCCTAAAGAAGCTTTTACAAATGTTTCTAGCATGTTCCAAGGTTGGGTACCTGTAGTCTATGTGCGAAACAACGCGATCGCAGGTGCTAAAGAGACCGCGCGAGACGGCGATGAAGGTGTCGTAGAAGTCACTGCGTTTATGTTAATCGTGGGGCCCAGGACAAACGGACTGCACGACAGTGGAGCTCTTGCCTCTTGAGAAATCCATTCCCATGGCCGTAGAAAGCGTTGATAGCGCCTGCATGGAGACATGGTTGGGCTTGATACGGATTATTTCGCCATGCTTCTTGTGCGCCTCGTCGACAGTGAGATAGCGTCGACCGAACCTCGCTTCAAGCAGCAGCCAAACCCTCATTAATGCAGCCCATGATGGTGCCGCGGGAATGTTCGACAAGCTCCTATTCTGGAATATGTACGCGCCGAGATAGTAGACGACGAGAAGAGCGAAGCACGCCATGGGGGCGATGACGAGGGGATGGGCTGCGGAGATCGACGGCAACGTTTTGCCGGGGAAATGTATAACAAACAGAAGGAGAGAGAAGACTCAACGAAAGGCAGAGAGGAGAAGGGCGTAGTTGGCAGATAGCAGATGTACGGGATGAAGGAGGCGTATAAAGAAGCTCTAAGAAAGCACAGTGATATTGTCGTCGGAGGCTAAGTCGGCTATCAATCGCATTATATATAATATACTGCTGCCGACTCCGGCTGCATCATTTGACAAGAATGACGCGGGAATGCAACTATTTACTTCCGACCTGCATCTGTCATAAATGAACCCTACCTACACGCATACCTACTGTAGGCCAGACCTATTTGACCCATTTATATTTGCGTCAGGCTCTCTCTTCATATTATTTACTATTAAATCTACTCTTTCGCGTCCAAGTCACTTTGCCACTGCGGTTGATTGTGTTTCTTACGCATCGCCTTTCCTATCCCCTATACATAGTCCTAACCAAGTCTTCAACATCTGTCGACGCTCAGGCCAAGCCCATCTACCCAAATCAGCAACGCCTCCGAACTTTTCGCCGAGGTCGAGAACCTATAAGTAGGGCTGGGTGGCGACTGACGAGCTAGACGGCCCCAAGTACCGCCGCTCCAAGGTCTCCTAGCCGACCCCCGAAAACAGCTACTTTAGCATCACGACCGTCTATATAGAGAGCGTGACGAGTATAGTGGCTAGTACCACACCCGTCCCTATAGTGAGATCATGTGCTGTCCTAGTTCACCCCTAGGGGGGAGGGCTGGACTAGTAGCCTTATTTGGGAAGATATGAGATTCTAACAAGAGTTGTTGTAAGAACAAGTTGAAGCAAGACGAAAGAAATCTCCTTCTGGATTTTGCGTGAAATGAGTGCATTTCCCCGGTCAATGATAGCATGTAAGCAAGTACCTGTTACAATTACGTTGGACCAATAGTTTCAAAGATCATAATTTCCATTGGAATGAGAAGTATATATAGCCTTTGTATTCACATAGAGGTCCAGGGAAAACAGACATGGTCATCCGATAAAAACCTGAACCAAGGCAAAATATGATGAACAATAGCACCTTGGCCAAACTAGCCCTCTGTCGCATATGAGAAGACGTGATATTTGCAAGTCTGATATCTGGTGCTGTCGCTTTTTACCCACTTAGCGATAGAAGCTAGATCCAGCTCTAAATATAGGTCAGCGACTAATCATGCACAATGTAGCAGTAGAGTGGACTATACAGGAAGGATGTTAGCAGCACTGCAGGCCTTGCTAACCAAGTTGCCAGCGACGGCAAGAGCACCTCCTCGGCCGTACTTGGTGGCGACACCCTCGATGCAGGTCCAGTATTGGCAGCCAGCGGCAGTGCCCTGCTTGCCGAGGTTGAAACCATCGAGGAAGGTGTCAACACACTGGTGCCACTCCTGGTACTCAGCCGGAGAGTACCGGTTGGTCTGAGCAGATGGAGCGGAGTATCCACCGTACTGCTGCTGAGGAGGGAATGCCTGGTACTGCTGGGGCTGCTGGAGCTGCTGCTGCTGGCCATACGGTTGCTGAGGCTGGCCGTATTGAGCGGAAACAGCGGAGGCCAAAACGGCGACGGTGGCGACGGAGAACTTCATTTTGATAAATCTGTTCGAGAGTGAGTATCCAGTTACCAGGAATCTCCAAAGGTAGAGCGTACAGTGGGTTGGTTCGTGAGAAAAACGTTGAAAGTTGTTGGAAGCGTTTGCTTTGCTTTGGAGACGATGGGATGAGCGAAGGATGGTTGTGAGAATCTGGCCGGGAAATAGGCAGGTACTTATAGTTTCTTCTCCAACCTGTTCGCCTTAGCTATATGCTGGGTCTTCCTTCTATGCAAAGGAGCATGTTCAATAAGGGAGGTCTGTGGCTGACTGGACGAATGCAGCTCTTCTTTCCTGGCGCTTCAGCTCGCCACTATTGAACAGACACTGCATTGCTCTTCTTTTCTTTTCTTTTTTACAATGCGCGGCCTCTCCCTTACTTTTTTTCATTGAGCCAGCCTCGGTGCCTGTAGAAGGCTTTCGATATCCGATTCTCGTTGCTAAATGATCAACCCAAGTACGTCACTATGGACCATAAATCCCTCATTGCCTAATTTGAGTTGCAAAGGATATGCGGAGCTTCCATAGATTGGTTGATTGATGAACCAGGAGCCCGAGATGCCTCAACAAAATCACACATGCAAGTCTCTCGTACATAGTAGTAAATGCTATTCTTGCAATCCATTTGAATCGTGTATCATAACCGCTTTAGGATTGGCCAACTAGCGGTCTATAAGCTCTTGCTATTGATCTTTATACCGGACCAACGACGGAATCGAATACGTGCGAATCACACCCAGTATGGCCAGGGCTCTTTTCACTATACGTTTCTCTCTATGCAGTGGCAACCCTATACAATTGTCCTGTCTTTCATTTGTCGTAGGTCCCGAATCAGAATACCACGGGTCGAGCTTAATCATCCTAACAGACCACGAAACAGACCGTAGCGGGATTGGTGAAAATTGTAAGACACCTAGCATACGTTGTATGTTGTATGTGCATAAGTCATACGTATCAAGTGTCAGAACATGTTACACTAGCGCCGATCACTATGCAAGCCAATATTAGCTCGTGGCTGGCCAAAGTATCGGCAATTGATGATCTTCAGAGCATAGTCTTCTGCGGCCCGTCCCAGAACCTTGTGATGTCTCGTTTTCCTTCGCTGGGTTCCGTTGATGGTTCTTGTACTCCGTAGACATTCCTATAATCTAGTACCAGATTGCACTGTCGAGCCGATGAATACATTGACATCGGGTCTTTTTACCCTGGTTATTGGCAGAGTTTACATTTCTGCACGGCTGAGACCTATCACCTCCCTGCGTACCTATTACGTACCGTTGATTTTCATACGTCCAAAGATCATGCAGGCAACGCATAAAATTGAATAAAATAAGCTTTGACGTGACACAACCTCTTGCAGACCGAGATCGACCGAGACCGAGATCGACCGGGGCCCCGTACTCGGCTGTTCTCCTAAGCTGCAGGAAATCAGCAACGCGGGGGAGACTGGTCCGCTCCAAGCTCTCAGCTATCCTGCAACCCTGATGGATATTCATTGACAATGTGCTAAAAGCGTACTAACTGCGTTCTGTTCGAAGCTGAGACTCAGCTCCTCTCCAGTCTAGGAATTTGATGCAATGTAACACGATGAGCCCCTTCACAGCCCTCATAACTTCCGCCGACTACCAGAAGCAGAGAATGATCTGCAATGTATGAGTGCAAGCGAGATAATGAGGGATTGTTCACATCACCGGACCCCAAACTCGAGCGAGGGGCAAATTTGCAAATGTTTGTGGCTCATTTGTGAGGGAAGGTCTTTGAATAAATTTCAATATAAATATTTGACAACATACCGAGATCTATACCATCTCCCAGCCATTTGACATCTTTCACTGGCGCAATGAAGAAGATCCAGATTGTTTTCAGTCTATTGTTTTCACTTTCGGTCTGCCAGGCTCAGTCTAACACCCCTGGGCGGACCCCCTTCCGAAAATATACCATCAATGATATTGTGCCCGTCAAAGACCGGGCTTCTGGACAGATCAAGTGCTGTCCCACCGGCACGGAGTTTGATGGCCATGGTTGCATTTTGAGCGCGCCTATCTGCCCTGATGGTAGCTCTCTTGTTGAAAACAAGTGTGTCTTCCACGGGAATCCAACTTGTGATCCTGGATATGAGCTTAAGAACGGTCTCTGTGTCACCGCTCAGCCCCCTACCTGCGACCGAGGAACCATTATACGCGGAAATCACTGCGTCCTGGAAGGGGGTGCTAAGTGTGGGCCTGGATATTCGCTGAAAGAGAATGTTTGCGTTGCCCAGGCACCTCCTATCTGCCCCGATGGTGAACATTTCAACGGAAAGTCTTGTGCATCACTCAACGGACCTCAGTGTATGGATGGTGGCAAGCTTGAAGATGGAGTCTGTGTCGATAAGGAATCACCCAGATGCCCTAAAGGGGCCTCCTTCGACACGACCAGTATGCGATGTGTCTTAGAGCAACCTCCGAGCTGCCCAGAGAACACGACTCCTCGAAACGGGCAGTGCACTTTGGACATTGGTCCCCAGTGCCGGGATGGCAGCAGCTTCAACCCTAAGACGCAATCCTGTGCTACTATCGAGAAGCCCCAGTGCCCACCCGAGACAGAGCTCGATCTCGATAATACGAGGTGTATCTATATTGGTCAATTGAAGTGTGAAGGGGGCACAACACTTTCCGTCAGCAACACCGCTGGCACTTCACGCTGTTGTCCACCTAATATGGCCTGGAACGGAAAGATCTGTTCTACAAAAGCGATCGATGGCAAGTGCCCGGACGGAAGCTCCCCGATCAATACCCGGTGTGAGAAGCATTCCAACCCTCAACCACACTGCCCGCCAAACTTCAAATTCGATAAAACTCGCTGTGTTTTACAAGATCCCCCGCGATGCCCACCAGAAACCTATCTGGATGGAAACCAATGCACTCTAGTCAAGAAGGCGGAATGTGCACAGGGAACGGTATTGGTCGGTGGTGACTGTGTACTTCGAGGGCCTCCTTCTTGTCCACCCAACACCAGTATCGAGGGAGGCAAGTGTGTAACGGAACCAACTTGTGATACAAATGCCAAGTGGGATGGCAAGCACTGCGGGAGTGATGCTCGCATCAGATGTGAAGATGGAATCTACCAAGACGGCTATTGCAACACTGCGAGTCAGCCCAAGTGCAAGGAGGATGCCTCATTCGATGGTACCCGCTGTGTTTCGAAGACTTCCCCCCAGTGTTCTACAGGATCTGTACTCAACGGTGATGGATTGTGCCTCACTGCAACTCCACCTCAATGTCCTCCCAATACTAGACTCCAAGACGGGAACTGTGTCTACGGAAAACCAACTTGCGCCCCCGAGCAACGTCTCGTCAATGGGCGGTGTGAGAGTTTAGAGGGCCCTGAATGTCCTGAAAAGTTCTTCTGGAAGCGCGGAAAGTGCACTCGTATCGTCGAAGAGCATTGTGAGTCTGGATTCACCCTTAAGGACGGCCAGTGTATCTCCAGCGCTACTCCTGATTGTGGAGAATTTGGATTTAATGGCAAGGCCTGTGTTGGTGCGAAACCTCACTGCCCTGACGGAACCCATCTCGACGGAGGAGACTGCTTATTAAACATCGATGCCCAGTGTCCCCAAGGATTCAAATTCAATGGCAACAAGTGCAGCGCAGAGAAGCCTCCTCAATGTCCACCTGGTACCACACTTGACAAGGCGACCCAGGATTGTGTCTCTGCAACAGAGCCTCGCTGCCCTCCCAACCAGAGATTCAACGGTAAACACTGTGCTATTGCGTCTGGCGAGTGCATGGAATTCCAGTTCTGTCCTACTGAGTCATATGGAAAAGGATGCCAACTCACCCCCGACGGAGTCATGTGCAACGGATCCAAGTTCCAGCAGCAGCCGGATGTTGAGAATACCACAAACCCTAGAATTCCTATTCAGCCCGACATTGGCCAACAGATCCCAGACCAGCAAACTGGATGGCCTCCGCAGCAACAAGGTAACGCTGATGGAGTCTGGCACCAGCAGCCACCCACTCATCAAACCGGATGGCAACCACAGCAGCAGGGCAACCCTGATGGAGTTTGGCGCCAGCAGCCACCTACTCATCAAACCGGATGGCAACCACAGCAGCAGGGCAACCCTGATGGAGTTTGGCGCCAGCAGCCACCCACTCATCAAACCGGATGGCAACCACAGCAGCAGGGCAACCCTGATGGAGTTTGGCGCCAGCAGCCACCCACTCATCAAACCGGATGGCAACCACAGCAACAGGACAACCCTGGAGTTTGGCGTCAGCAGCCAGCTCAGTGAGTTGGCTGATAGGCTACCCATGACGTGGTAAGCCTGCCATGAGAGATGTCAATACAGCACTCTGGCGTGCCAATCAATCACTATTGACAGCCTCTTGCGCGAAACAGCCAGGCTGAAGAGCCTGTGATTATGGACGTGTAGAAGCAGTGACTATCCTCAGGCTGAATCCGGCTTACTCCTGTCCACTATATGTTTCCTTATGTTCTTCGTTCAATCCGCATCTGCGGTAACCCACTGTCTTTACAAGTTTTAGTTTGGTTAGTCATATACAGGCATGACTTCAGAGCTTTTAAGAACACCAACAATGTAGCGCCTAACACAACCCCGCAATGGCGACTTTAGTCGTGCTTTGGAGTCAGACTCGCGTTTATATAGGTCAAGGCGTTTTGATAACCAAGCACTCTTCTGCCAAGCAAGATGCTACTATACGACCTTCCATGTTAGGAGAAGACCATTGTAAGCCCACAATCTGCTTCTTATCTGTATGCGAATTCGTTAGGAGTGTAAAGACGACGGAGCTTAGGAACATTGCGCAATCTTATTTTCCGACTAGTGAGAATCATAAGAACCTGTGTAGGGCTGCGATATCTGCATTTGATTAAGCATTTTACATGCGTTGTTGATATTTTTCGTTCCTTATACCTCGCACGATGGCAGTGGAAACTCACAAGCCTGGCTTCGCGGCAGAAACACAAGCCAAGGAAGAAAGCGGCAATGAGTTCAATACTGCCCCAAAGCTCCCTGGTCAATTTGCCAATTTGCCAATGAGAGTTCTAAGCTCTTCTCGAAAATTCAAGTCACAGACCCAACTCCCGAAGAAGCGATACAGATGTTTATGGCGGATTTTGCCTTTTCTTTGCATTGGATATCACTTGATGTCGACAAGCAAACGGTATGTTAATTCGATTTCACTGAATATGGGAACCCAGTACTCACACGCTAGCGGCTTGGAAGTTCTGCGATCCTAGGGATCATCTATGACGCGCATCTGAACTCGAATCAATATCACTGGCTCCCTTCAATTTTCTACTTTGGGTATCTTTTGGCTGAATGGCCACAGAATTGGGCTTTGCAGCGGTTTCCTGTTGGTAAGTGGCTGGCTGGTAATTTGGTAGTATGGTAAGTTCTTCGCTTGTCCTCAAATAATGGTCTGTATCAATGACTGACTGGCTCTATAGGGCCGGAATCACCCTCTTGCATGTCCTCCACAACAGCTTCGTGTCTCTTTTTGTCGTTCGCTTTTTCCTTGGAGTAGCAGAAGCATCCATTGTTCCAGCGTTCCTGCTTTCCATGTCCATATTCTTTACTTACGGTGAGCAGGCCGTCATGATGCCAGTCATGTAGTCAATTGGTGATGCGAGTCCCACCACGTCGGGTTTGCTATTTTATGGTGTTCTTTGGATTGATTCAGGGCAGCTTTTCTCCGTGGAAATGGTTCATGGGTATGTCTGTTCTCTAAGTATACCATTCAGGATGTTAACTTTATTCTAGTTATCACCGGTGTGCTCACGGCCATTTTCGGTTTTGTTGTCTATGTCTTCCTTCCCTGATAGCCCTATCCATGCCAATTTCCTGACAAACGAGGAGCGTGCAAAGGCTATTTTACGGATTAGATAGAACCATTCCGGAATCGAGCAGAAGATTTTCAAAAGATATCAGTCAGACCTCTGAAGAAAATTCAAGATTCAGATTCATGAACTTATTAGAGGTCTTAGGTTTAGCGAAGCAATTCAAGACCCCAAAATTTGGCTCTTGTTCCTGCCTTACCTTGGTGTGATACAATGTGATTACAGCTGCTATGAGAGAAAAGAATGATACGACTCCCGTCACGGTTCCTAATAGTCTTGTTTGAAGAACGGTGAAACCAAATGAGTTGATGATCAGTGATATTGGTTGGTTACTCCGTTTGCCATTTCCTGGGACCAGGCCCGGGCATTAATGTGAAACTTGCAGAACTGTCGAGCATGGATATCACTCATCGCATACAGGGTGCTCTTTCAAGTATCCTTCTACTAGGTTAGTAGTGTTCTTCTTTTCAAAATGAGCTCCACTGCTAATTGACCTGACAGCCTTGCTCTGGCCCAATCGATGGGGTCTCGTCGTTGGAATCTGAATTCGATCTACAGTCGGCCTCCCATATGCCATTGTGGTGATCCGGGCTGCCAATGTGTCAGCGGGTCATACGAAGAAGACTACAGTCATAGCGCTTTATCACATTGGATATGAACTAGGGAATATTATCTCTCCGAAATTATTCCGGCCGGAATGGAAGGTGAGTTCATAATTTGCGCTAGCTTGGGTTGTCATACTAACGATGATCCAAGCCTCGGTACAGACCAACTTGGATTATTTTGCTTGTGGTAAGTCCCATTTTAGTAAAGCTATGTGCGGAATATTTGACTTATAGCTCCTAAGGTTGCTGCAATTCTTCCTTCGATCATTATTATTGCCCTCCGGATATGCCTAAACCGAGAGAACAAACGTCGCGACAAGCTCGCGGAAGCTAATCAAGTCGCTAGCAATGGGGTTGTCGAGACGGTCGATTCGGATGGGAGTAAAGTTGCTCGAATCATGAATAATAGTCAGTTGATTTGACTGACAGGGAGAATTTGACATTGTAAGTTTTCATACTGGTTTGTTGGTACTGGGATTTGATACTAATTTGAGAACAGTCGATATGTACTCTGATGGGTTGGAGACTCTCTGCATATTACTGGAGCTTTAGAAGCTTGGGATTTTTGAATTTGAATAACTACGCTCTATACTAGGTGGAATGCAGTCATCCTGTCTTTTTGGGTTGCTTGGTTTGTCCATCTCGTTCCTGTGCCTCTAAATAACCATTATCGGCTATATATAGTACCAGGTACGTACGGGTCATTATCTCTGCCTCGAATAAAGTATTCGGTCATAATTTAACGTTGATTTCAAAGCTTATAGCACAATAGGCTCCATCTAAAGTTGTGCGATCACATTCCGATGGCGTAAACCACCCAACTGCAAGGATCCGACACACAACAGTCGGCCTGAATGACGTGCCAGTGTGCCAGCCAACCTGATGATTTCCAAGCACCTAAAAGCACCTTATCTCCTCGGTTCTCCTCTTTGAATTGTATTTACTTACATCTTATAATGATTTCCACCGTGTAACCGCTATAATAAATAGTTATTCAAACTACACTTCAACCATCTATAACAGCTCACTATGGATATCCAGGAAAGACAGCCTCTCTTAAACTCATCAACTCACTCCAACATTGTCTCTCACAGCTCTCAACAAGAACCGCTCGGTCTCTCATCCGATGATTTTTCCGCACCCTACCCCGACACCCTTCCAGGGACACCCTACAGAAAGAGCATCAACTGGTCAAGCGCATACATATTAGTCGTTTCGCAAGTGATTGGGAGCGGTATCTTCGCAACACCAGGCTCAATCGTCAGATCCGCCGGAAGCATAGGATTGACTCTGCTAGTATGGCTGGTTGGGACGATAATATCAGCTTGCGGGCTAGCCGTCTCGATGGAATTCGGATGCATGCTACCTCGCTCAGGAGGAACAAAGGTAAAGCGCATTGCTGCAGGATTGCAGAAACCTGTTCGGCTAAATTTCTTTACTTTTTGCGCAGGTGTACCTCGAGTATACCTATCCCCGACCGCGGTTTCTCGCATCAAGCCTTATAACAGCCCAGGTAGTGCTCCTGGGGTTCACGGCGAGCAACTGCATTATCTTTTCGAAATACGCGTTCTTCGCACTTAATATTCAGCCTACCGAGGTTCAGCATAAGGTCCTTGCTGTTGGCCTCTTGACTGCCATTACTATTGTCCATGGTTGTTTCTTGAAAACTGGAATCTTTGTCCAGAACGTCCTTGGCTGGGTGAAGATATTTCTCATTGCCGCGATGTCCTTGACGGGAGTCTGGGTGGTTTTTCTCGGTTTGTATGGAGACACTGATAATATATCTCCAGTATCAGGAGTCGCCGGTTCGCTTTCTTGGGATTCGATGTGGGAAGGATCGAACTGGAGCTGGAGTCTGCTTTCGTCGGCTTTGTTCAAAGTATACTATTCTTACGCTGGGCTGAGCAATGTGAACAATGTCCTCAGTGAGGTTCATGATCCCGTGAAGATAGTGAAGACCGTGTGTCCCACTGCACTAGTCACAGCTGGCGGCCTATACTTTCTTGCGAATCTTTCATACTTCCTGGTCATTCCGCTCGAAGAGATCAAAAATAGTGGGGAGCTAGTGGGCGCACTGCTATTCGAAAGGCTGTTTGGGGAGCATGTTGGAAAAATATTCTTTCCACTTGCTATTGCCATTTCAGCTGCCGGGAATGTGATGGTGGTGACCTTTGGCTTGGTATGGAACTATTAGCATGAAATTGCAAGCTAATATATACTAACATTTGATAGGCACGTGTGAATCAAGAGATAGCCCGACAAGGCTTTCTTCCGTGGCAAAATGTTCTCTCGTCGTCGCGGCCATTTGGGACTCCACTGGGTGGACTTATTGTACACTATATCCCTTCTGCGTTGGTCCTCGCCCTACCACCACAAGGGGATGTCTATAACTTTATCCTGGACTTGGAGGGATACCCTGGACAGATGTTTTCCTTGGCAATCACAGTCGGTCTGCTGGTAGTACGATACCGGGAGCCTCATCTTCCACGACCCTTCAAAGCTTGGTTGCCGGCTGTCTGGTTACGGGTTATTGTATGTCTAGTCCTGCTAGTAGCGCCCTTCATTCCACCGCCGAATTGGCGGAACGTCGATTTCTTCTATGCCACCTATCCACTTGTCGGGATTGGAATGTGAGTAGTAGTCCTTCCATGGGTGAGTTACCTCGCTAACAGACACAGTATGCTCTCGGGTGTTCTCTACTGGTATGTCTGGACAGTGCTACTGCCACAATGGGGAGGGTATCAACTCGAGGAAGAGAAAGAGGTTCTGGCCGACGGGACTAGCATCATCAAGCTCGTTCATTCATATGATAAGTGAATAAGGGACAGAGTTGACGCATATCATGATCAAGTTGGGATTGGTTCATGTTCTCGTCTGGGAGACAGGATTGTTAGAATGCTGAGTCTGTTTATAAGGGAGAAATCCCTCCCTAACGGTAGTAGATGGGTAATGTCCATCACTTTGTAGAAGATGAGGTTTGAGACAGTCCCCAGAGCAATTGTGCACAGACAGACAGATCCAGGCTTCTTCCTTTCTTCTTTCCTTTCTTGTTTCCTTTCTTCCTCTCTCTCTTCCTCTCTCCCCTCCTCTCTCTCTCATTCTCTATCCTTCTCTTCTTCTACTTTTCTCTCATCCCCTTCCTTCCTATTCACCTTCTCCCCAAATCGAATACATCTCCAATATCGAATACAGCATACGGATCTCTCTCTATCTCTGTACTTGCTAAAATCACAACTGAATTTCTCAACTCACTTCCCCTAATTCCTCCTCTTTTCAAGCAGATCATTGCTTCGCCATGGCATCGATGCCTGGGCCACCCGACAGACCGCCTCCTCCATGTCCCTCCTGGGTATTTTCCAACAACTCCGACACGCAGTTCGTATCGCCCGCTTCATGGGGCTGGATCTATCCATCTAACTAAGCCAGTGTTGCCAAAGATCGCTATTGGTTTGATACGGACTACATCCCCTTTAGGTCCCATTTCACGGATATAGCCGGCCACTCGGCAGAAGTCATTGGAATGGGAACCGTCAATCTCGCCACCATGAGCCCGCCAACCCAGACCGATCCGGATTCGCCTAGCTCCCTCCGCTTGAAGAATGTGCTGCATGCTCCTGCAACGCTCTGCAACATCATCGGAAGGCCCGTAATGGACGACTACACTGTCATATGCGGCCCCTTCTCAGATTATCCCGGTTTCATTGTGAAGAACACTGATGGTTGTATCGTGGCCTACTTCAAACCCATGAATCAAGGGCCCAACCTGTACCAAGTGCAGCTTGGCGAGCCCCCATTAGGCCATGAGTTCGGGCTTTCGCCTTTGTGCGCTAACGGGCACTACATGATTCACGCCTTCTGGTCCCAGCATGAGCGACAGAGATTTGCAAGCTTGAAAGCCTCGGGTCTGATTCAAGCCTCAGGCGTGGATCCATTGACACCGGTCGAAAGGAATTGGTTCAGGCAGAAACGCATGTCTGAAAAGGCAATTCTTGTTGCCTACGGGTTGGATTCCAACAGGAAGGAGCATCAAGAGGAAGGCCGTGCCATCATGCGAATTCTTAAGTCCCAAGCCGAAAATGAACCGACGGTCCTATACTAGAAGAACCCGCGTGACTGTTGAGAGGAAACGGGAGGAACCAATTTATATCGCTGGATGGCGACTTCCCAGTTGTGGTGGAGGAAATCGTCAAAATTATCAGTCTCCCATAGCTCCATATGTTTCTAAATACCCCAATTAAGCGATATCACACTGGCCATGCCTCCTTCACACATATTCTGGCGTAAAGCGAGCTGAATGTCAAACCCGCTCCTAATCCCAGATATCGAGAGTAGATTCCTGGACTCCAGGTATCGCCCATGTAGTTGCATGTCACAGAGTGCCTTCGAGGCGATATCCCCATCTAGATACGAAGCACAGTCTTCCCAACTTGTTTACCCTGCTAAACATATTCAACAGCCTCTTCGGCTTGCTCAAATGAAATATTTCGTCAGTGAGGTCACTCAGCGGTGTTTGAGCTGCTGATAGCGCAGCACAGAGGTCCTCCATCTCATGCTTTGACCCTGCATTGATACCTCTATTTTGTTCCAAGTCAGACTTCAGTCTCCAATGACCAAGCGTCATAGAAGAAATCTCACCTCAAATTAACCATTCGACGGATAATCGTCAGGATCAGCTCCCGGAGGTCGTTAGGGTCCTGCCGTGAAAGATACCCGAGGATGATTCTATAGCAAGAAACTGTATAAAATCACAGGCTTGATTATTGGACATGTAGAGGAGATACCATGGACATGAATAAGTCAAATAAGTTCAGTAAATGAACCAAAGTGCTTATTGAATAGAAGCAATCACGTCTTATGCGTTGGAATTACCTATGGCGCTAACCCGAAAAGAGTAAATAAACGCTCTCGGGATCCCTCTGCTTGTACATAAATCGATAGCTCCCTCACAGCAATAAATCGATATGCGCAGGTGATGAATAAATTATAGGGACAGCCCTGGAGCCTACAGCCTCCTATATTAATGTGGCTGTGGTACCTAGTGCTTTTGCTGAAGCAACTTATGCAAAGCCTTGAGCAATAGAGCTTAGCTTGAACAGGCAGAGCCAGAACTCTGTCCTTTGTATACTCGGATTGGAAATGGCCATTGGGTAATAGTTGCAAGTTACCCTGTCAATTAGGTGTCTGTTCATATGTAAGCGCAATGATTCAAGCAATGTGGTACGTAATAGCCCTGGAGAAGCCAGAAGAAGGTCTCCTCGGCCCAGTGTTTTTCCTTGCCAAGGCGGTCAGGTGATTCGATCAAATTTGTCCGAAGTGATTCCGCCTCAGTTCACTGAGTCTCCATTCTCAATTCCATATCTCACTATTCATAATGTTCCAACGGACCATCCTCAGACAGGCTCAGGCCGCCCGCTCCATCCTCTCCACTTCCTCCCCTTCCACAGCATCGCTGGCGCTGCGACGGACCACACAACAACCACGTCTCCCGGCTATCCGGCCATTCGCTCTCCGGACTACCCGTCTCTACTCAACAGAGACCAAGGAAGCCGCTGGAGCTGAGAAAAGTGAGAACGGAGAGAACGGAGAGAACGCAGAGGCCGAGGACCCCGTCAAGAAGGAGCTCGAACAGAAGACCAAGGAAGCCATTGAGTTCAAGGTAAGATATTTCCCCGTATTCACTCCTACGGGTAGCTCCGCAGCTCTTTCGCAGACGAATATTAACCCAAAATTCTTATTAGGACAAATGGCTCCGCTCTGTCGCCGAATCCCGCAACCTCGTTGAGCGCAACAAGCGCGACATGGACGCCGCGCGCAAGTTCGCCATCCAAGGTTTCGCCAAGGACCTCCTCGACAGCATTGACAACTTCGACCGCGCGCTGCTGGCCGTGCCCGCGGAAAAGCTCGCCGCTGCTAAGACCGAAGACAAGGACCTTCTTGACCTCGTTGACGGTCTCAACATGACCCAGAAAATCCTCCTAAACACCCTCCAGAAGCACGGTCTTGAGCGCTTCGATCCCGCCGAGAAGGTCGACGGCAAGGCCCAGAAGTTCGACGCAAATTTGCACGAGGCTACCTTCATGGCGCCGGCTGCTGGTCTCGAGGACGGTGATGTTATGCACGTCCAGAGCAAGGGCTTCCGTCTTAACGGCCGCGTTCTGCGGGTGAGTACCACCTAAGATCCGAGATTTTCTGGCGGAGTATTGTGGCTAATTGTTTTCTTTTATAGGCTGCCAAGGTCGGTGTCGTCAAGAACGCTTAAATGGTCGACAATAACTTCGATTCTTAATCCTTCGACCTTCTGTGATCCTTTCAGCCTTTTCACATTTCTTTACTTCTCTCTGTACCATATGTCATACATCATGATCACGATAGGGTTTTATACTCGGATACGGCTGGCTTTTGGACCCGGGAAAATTACTCTTCCTTACTATCTTTCTGCTTGTCTCTTGGATTCGCCTGTATGATACACCCTTGTTGCATGTGTCTGGAGGCGTACGGATTGTCTCATGTTGGTGGTGTCTTTCACTTGTTTCGTGACGTCTGTACCTCTTATGTCCCCTAGTAACTCTCTCCTCCTCACTGTATAATACACACTTCGTCGGGGCACTGTTATAGCCTCTGGTGTCTTCAATCTCCTTCCGCCTTTGGTAACCACTAAATTAGACTTTAATCAAAGACAAAGCTCCAGGGCTGGCTATGGCTATCTCGACAGGAACCTTAGCTTAGTGATATCCGTACATCGATATTGGCCTGATGAGAGGAATGCTATATCTTACATATTCTCTATAATAATCACAGTATAGTACAAAGTATAACCCAAGAGTCTCCCAACTCACCTCAGCTCAACTCCAAGCTCTCCAACTAGCTTCTCTCGGACCTTCAGGTGCATCTCATTACTCTCCTCGTTCGTCAAAGTCCGCTCCAAGCTCCGGTAGTTAATGCGGTAGCACATGCTCTTACGCGAAGTCTTAGGATGCGTAAACTCATCAATGAGAGTAACATCCTCAACAAGGTCTCCACCTATTCCACGAACAATCTCCATAACATCATTCTCATGAAAAGGTACAGCGCCACCAGCAGCGCTGTTACCACCCGTCACAGCCGCAGGGGGCAACCAGAAAGCAACATCCTTATAGCAAGCCGGGTGCTTAGAGAAAGGCTCAAAACGGGCAATATGACCAGCCCGGAACTGCGATAAGAACCGCTCATCCCGAGACCAGAACAGCCGGATATCTGGGATATTGAACAGAAGCATAGCAATGCGCTCAATGCCCAGTCCAAAGGCCCATCCAATCCGATCCGGCACGTCCGAGTTGATCAACAGATCCTGCTTAATGACGCCGCACCCCAGAATCTCCAGCCAATCACCTTGCCAGAACACCTCTAGCTCCCAGGACGGGCTGGTGAACGGGAAGTAAGCCTCGACCCAGCGCACCTTGAGCGGCTCCTGCTCCGCGCCACCGCTACTCGCCGCAGCGGCCTTGCTCGCTTCCGTGAAGATCTTAATCACCATCCGCTCAAGAGAACGCTTGAGATGCGCGCCCACAGCCTCGACCTCCTCGGCGCTGTGGTGCTCATCCTGTAGCGGGTTCCGCTGCGCGTGGATAGTCGGGTTCGGGTCCTCGACTACGACGTCGTGGCGCGGGATCTTCTTCACATCAGCCATTATCCTCGCTGCTGTTTCGGCCGAGGCGGAGAGTGGGTTAGTCGCCGGCCGCTTCCATAGCATCGCTCCCTCCATCTGGTGGAAGACCGGGTAGTGGCTGCGGTCGATCGCGTCGCGACGGTAGACGTCCGCGATCACGGTGTATCCGACCTCCTCTGGACGGGTGTGCTCGTTGCGGGCGATTTGCTGGAAATATGCCTGTTGGTGCGCGCTTGTGTGGGTGCGCAGCACTGTCTTGTCGTTCACGTAGTAGGTATCTGTGCGGCTGCGGCCCGGGTGGTCCGCGGGGAAGCCGAGGACATCGAAGTTTTGTCTTGTTGAGACGACGGGGTTCTTCTCTGAGTAGTTGCCATAGCTTGGGGCTGCGAATTGGCTTTCGATGAGCTTGCGTGTAATGGCGAGAGGGTGGTTGTCGTCGAGGTAGAGTCGTCGTCCGATATGGGACAGGATTGTATCGGGGGTGTTGGTCCACTGGTCGGTTGGGTAGGTCTCCCCTTCAATTTTGAGGCTCGATTGTTGCTGGGGTATTGTGGAGGTAGTGGTTGCTTTCTGTTCACTCCGGCGAGCTGTGGTTGAGCTCCATTCGCGGTTGACGGACAGAATGGGAGTCCGTGGCAGGGAGCGCGGAATGGCAATCTGGGGCCGGGTTGAGGCAATTGACCAACGACCACTGCTCGCACGCAGCGCTCGACCGGTAGCGAATAGCCTCATTGTTGAGTTGGACGTTGTGAGACTTGCCCATCAATGCTATCAACCTATCAACATTTGTTCGGCTCGGCGAAATTAGTCCCCGAAGCACGTTGTCGAGTCCGCACAACCAAAAATATAAAGTTAAGGCTTAACATTTACTTCTTTTTAGAGGAGACAGACGTATGATTCAAAGATGTTTGAAGTTCTTTACACTTGAATTAGTCGTCTAGTGCTGACGCTATAGCGTTGGAAGACTCGCAATGGTAAAAAAAATAAGTACACCTGCTCTTCTCTTCAAAAAGGAAACCCGACAGGTCAAGGTGATGCTCTTGTGTCACATCATTATGAGGGCTCGTGGAAGAAGGAGGATGCAGAAGTGAAGGAAGCAGAAGGAAGAAAACCAACAACAGCGCAAAAGCAGCAACAAGGATCATCACCACCACAATCAGCCCATAACACCAGACTGCTCCCTAATGCAGCACAAGAAATGCAAGGATAGTGCGGCACGTTAAAGACGATGCCAATGAAGTGGCCCGAACGTTATTTAGGATGCGGCAGCATCCTCTTGTTCCTCAAACAGGTCCTCGTCTAGAGGGACGGTCAACGGATCGGGTTCCTCAGCAGCATATTCAGAATAATATTCCCGCTGCTCCGGCGTGTTCTCCTCCCGTGGGATGACAAGTCGCTCGAAGCCCACATCCACTAGCTTCTGGAAGTCGTCGGGGCGTAGGTCCAGTCGGATCAAGAGAGTGTGATAGCAGCCGATCTTGAACAACGCCGCACAAGTGTCTGAGATGGTCTGTCCAGCCTCGTTGAGCATCCTCGCCCAGAACAGAGCATCCATTAGGTCGGAACGCTGCTTCTGAGAGCCCTTTGCATCATCTGGACAAAGATAGAAGCACCTGAGCTTGACTGCGAGGTCAAAGTAGGGTTGTAGTAGCCGAACGCCATGCACATATCGGACGTGCCCGTCCACCTGGTCATACGCGAAGCGGTCGTCAATCGTGGTGAGGAGGTCGATCATAACC